TTTACAAGTTTCACACTTGAAAATTGTTAGGTAATAAGTAGTAGGCGATAAGTTGTAGATAGTAATTAGTAGGTGCTAATTCATAAGTGTCATCGGTAGTTGATAATTTATAGGCTAATAATTGGCTCTTGATCCTCTATTAATGCTTACAATCATCGTAATATCTTTTATATATAGAACGTTCATTTCTTAATATTTTCGTTCTTTATTACCGTAAGTTTATTGAGTTTAATATTATAAAGACTATAATATTGCATTATAAAGATTTCAAGTTCATAATTATCGGGTTTTTATTCATATTGCAACCTCGCTATTCTTAGTGTTTTGATTGTTTAATTCTTTAGTTTTTAGTTTAATCTTGTTATTTTGATCACATGTTAGACTTGAGAGTTTGATTTCTACCTTAAATTGTTTATTATTTCAAGTTATGGTTCCCGTAATTCTACACTCCAAGTAGCTTTGGAGGTTATAGTTTCCTCGTGAGGGGTTTTTAAGTTTATTATAGTCCATTTAACTCATTTTAATTCAATTTGTTTATAACATAAAAATCCACAAATATTATTAGGGTTAGCTATAGTTTATATTTACAAGTTAATTTGGTTATTCTACCTATGATATTTAAAGATTGACCATCCTATAGAATGCTTTTTAATTATTATTTACTTTTTTGGTTACAAAATAATCTTAATTGAAAGAATCCATAATAATAAATAATACCTAGGGTTGGACAATTTCCATGTAATTCTTGGCATCCATATTTTCTTTAAGTTGGTGTGCGGGGATGGGGGTGGTTAGAGACCAAAAAGAAAAACACTTAGAATCACGATGGATTTAAATCAATTTAACTTAGTTTGAGGTGCAAATGCTAAAATTTCATGTCTTTAGTTGGTCATGAGTTGATTAATATAACATGACCAATGTTTTGAAAAAGCAAAAAATATATGATTGTTTTGTTGGAATTAGAAACCTTAACAACAAATGCATGGTGTACATCATCACATAGAGGAAAGGAATGAAGAACAAGGCTGTGGATAAAACAATGGGGGAAAATTACGAGATGCTCCTCTACTTTCAATTTTTGATCATATTGATACTTCTACGTAATCTTGGTCTAAACAGCCTTTCTAACAAGTTGTTACTTGTTGATCTCTCCATCTAATTCCGTTATGCAAGTCCCTTCATTTGACTATCTATCGTTGGTTGATCCAAATAAAGGGTCTAAATCATGTATATATATATATAAATTAAATTCTTGAAATTAATAAAAATTAAATAAATATTAATTTAGTTAATAAAAAATAATAAAAATTATTCAATTGAAAAAATTAAATTCCTTTTTTAAAAAAATTGAAGAATTATTTTTCTCATATTATTATATGAGATTTTAATCTTATTTTGTTGAAGTTTTAAATTTTTTATCTTTTAATTTAATATAAATTTTAATATTTAAAGATGTAAAAATGTGTGTTTAATTTTTATTATTGACTAAGTTATTTTTTTAATAAATTTAAAAACTCAAGTGTTATTCAATATCTAAAAAAAATGAAGTAAAATATTTTTCTAGGATTTGCGTATGAGATTCTAATCTTGAATTGTTTTAAAAATTTTAATTTTCCCATTTTAAATTTAAAAGCTCAATATATTATTAAATATCTAAAAAGTAAAAATATTTTATTTCATTTTTATTATTAACCAAATTATTTTTACTTAGTTATCATTAATTTTAAAAATTTAATGTATTGTTTTTTTTTTTTAAATCATAAACCGTGAACGTGACATGATTTACACCTTTTATTTTGATCAACTAATAATATTTAGTCAAATTAAAGGACATGTATACCAAATGTTGGAAAGAGTGATAAACAAGTAGCAAGTTGTATGGTAAAATGATTGCTATAGACCAAAATCATGTAGAGAGATCCATGTGACCAAAAACTGAAAGGAGAAGGACATCATATGCTTTTCATCATTAAAACATTGTTACTATTTTACACGAGGAAAGAAGGGAAGACTTGTTTTAAATGAGAGACTAAAACATAGGAGTGGACAGAGGACCCCGCAACAATACGTAGTTTAAATCAAGTTGGGAATCATAGGTGGGAAAATAAGACTTTTTTTTTTTTTTCAAATATTTTAGTTATGATTAATAAAGTTTGAAACTGAAATGATAAAATAGTTATTTTCTTAATAAATATAATTTTAGAATTCAAATATTACATATTGACAAAAAAATAACAACTTATTTGTAATTTTTTTTTTATCTAAGTATTTTTATTTTTTTTATTAAAAATATGACTAATAACGTTTGCAACAAAAATAACAAAGTAGTTATATTTTTTAATAAATATCATTCTAAAATTCAAATATTACATATTAATAAAAAATTTATTTAAAGATTCGTTGGTTTATCACTTAAATAACAAATTGTTTATAAACTTTTTTTTTTAATAAAATTTTAGACGGTTGTTGGGGGTTGGTTAACTTAGTTTATGGATCCATAAGCTCGCTGAACATTTCAAAAGTAGAAAAGTCAATTACTATTGTCAGAGGAACTGAAGAAGAGGTTGGTGGATGGATGAATAATGCAAAATATGTATCAACATACAAACATTTCAATTGATTTTTAATCATAATAAATGCTTGCTTTCTGAAGAAGAAATTGAAAAAAAAAAAATTCTATCATTTTATAAATATTTACACTTCCTTACCTCAATTTTATTGTTATTTATTAATTTGAGAATATCCTCAATTTTATAATACATCCATCACATCATACCAAACTTTCTCCAATTTCCATAAATAATAGTAATAATAATAAAAAAAACTTACTCCTATTCTAATATAAAAGCCAGTTTCGAGGCTCACCTAACATGGTTCTGTCTGGCGCAACACCACCACTACCATTTGATGCTTCCAGTCCCCACCATCTGTTGTATGCCTGCTCACTCCCTCTCAACTACCCAATAGTTGGATTTTTGTTAGGCATATGATTTCCATTTTCAAGCTTCTTTTGTTTTTCTTACTGTTATTTAGAAAAGGCAAATACATTATTTATGTTTTTTCATTCGATCATAATGGTATCTTCGTTAATTGAGACTAAATACATTTTTTCCTTAAATTCTTTTAAATAGTGGCAAGTTCTAAGAGCCCATTCCAAATTGTCAAAAATAAAAATAATTCAATCACAAAAGAAGGAATAATTTTGACTCAACCAATTTTTTAACTTGGAGGAAAAAAGGCAGTGATTTGCAGAATAAAACACAAACAAACAAACACTTGGATTACGTCTTCTATGGTTGTTGAAAGCGCAAATTACATTCCTTAAATAAAGTCATCGGTCAAGTTGACTCCAAGACGTGACATGATTCACGTCTTTTCCACTACCAGACGATCAAGAAGAGCGTCGGCATCAACCAATCAAAATATCACATTGAAGAATTAGAGGACAATCGAGAGTAAACTATAATAAATTCATCTTTTTTCAATTTTAAAAACTAAGGAATTAATTTTTATGTTTTTAACTCCATTTGTAGTTCTTTTCTTTTCTTTTATTTTTGTTTTAAGAAATAGATAAAATAAAAAGATTAACAAAATATATATATTTTTAAAATAATATAAATTAAATATAATTAACAGTATAAAAAATTAATTAATTAATTTTTAAAACTAGAATTGATGAATTCATAATTCTTGAACTGTTTGAACTGTTAGATTTTTATTTTTTTATTTATTTATTATTATTTTTTTGTACTGATTGTTAACTAGAAATTAATTTTTATGTTTTTAACTCCATTTGTAATTCTTTTCTTTTCCTTTCTTTTCTTTTTGTTTTAAGAAATAGATAAAATAAAAAGATTAACAAAAAATAATATAAATTAAATATAATTAACACTATAAAAAATTAATTAATTAATTTTTAAAACTAGAATTGATGAATTCATAATTCTTGAACTGTTTGAACTGTTAGATTTTTTTTTTTTTTTTTTTTTTTTTTGGGGACTGATTGTTAACTAGAAATTTACCCATGTTTTTACGTCCTCCCCAATTGAAAGAGCAGACACGTGCATGCAGCAATCCACTAACTCCAAGTCTATGCAAAAGGGGTAGCTATTTTATGGCTCTTCTTTTCTTCAAAATTTCCCAAAAAACGTGACAGCATATCACTTGGTTCATGGCATTTGATTGATTGATTTATTATTATTATTTTTGTGGATTCTACATTTATACAGTTTTGCTCTGATAAAGTTTTTGTCCTTCCATTCCATGATGCCACATGTAAATAAGGATAAAAATTTTAAGGAAAAAAAAAATACAAATTTGTATATTAAAGAATTTAAATTAAAATCCACAAAAAAAAAAAAAAAACTCTTGGGTTTTTCAGACCTAGAAATTTAAAAATATTACAGAAATTAAAATTAAATTTTTGGATTAAAGTATTTCCCTTTTTTCCTCTAATTGCAAAAGAAAGCTTATTTTTATTTTTTATAAAATTATAAACTAAATAAATATTAATGGCATTAAATTAAAATTATTGGGTATAGCATATTTCTTTCTCTCGTTAAAAAAAAATTGGATTTTTTTTTATATTTGATGTAAAATTAATATTAAATAAACATTATAAACTACTAAAAACAGATATGCTTTTTATAATAAGAAACAGACTAGTGAACTATGCTATCAACATGCGTTGGGACTGTCCCTCAACCACTTTGAGTAAATAATTACTCTAAAACTACGCAAAAACTGATGGTACGACATCCTTACTTGCTCAATAAATAATAAAAATAATAATAAAAATAAAGTATGCTATCAACATATGAGCGAACCCAGACGTCTTTATTTTCTTACATTTATAATTGTAGAATTTTACTTACCGCGTGAAGATGATCGCACCACTCTCTCTATATATTTCCCTCCCCCTGAACATCCCGACCAGATTGAGAACTCCTTGAGAAAAGAAAACGAAAACTTCTTGAGAAACTTCTTGAGAGACACAAAAAATGGAGAAAGCGCTTAGCAGACAAAAAGTTCTTCTGGCTCATCTGCAACCTTCTCCTTCTCCTTCTCCTTCTCCTTCTCTCTCTGTAAGTTTGTCTTTCCTTTTCCTTTTGGTTTCTTTATTTATTTTCAATTAATTTCATTGTTTTTTTTTTTTTCCTATGAAAATGGATTAAATTATTCATTTTTTGTTTCCAGACTTCATTTTGTGCTGCTGGGGACAGTGCTGCATATCACCGGGAAGCTGCTTTTGGTGATGATGTTGTGATTGTGGCGTAAGTTTCTTGGAAAAATATATAAAGGGTCTTAACTAGTTTTGCGCATATGTTTCTAAATGTATTTTTCTTTTATTGAACTTGTTGAATGTCAAAAACAGTGCATACCGTACTGCTATTTGCAAAGCCAAGCGTGGCGGGTTCAAGGATACCTTTCCTGATGATTTACTTGGATATGTATTAAAGGTTAGCTTTTCTTTCTTTCTTTATTTATTTCCCTTTTTTCTCTCCCTCAATGATTATGAGATTGAGTTGTTTGCTGGAAGGTTTGAAAAGGGACCAACTAATCCAGTCTTTGGTTTGGATATGTATATGTGTGTGTGATTTTGTGCTACTACAGTCATGGTCATTGAGGACTATTCATCTTCATCTCTTTAGTTTACCAATATTTGTAAAACTTGATTGTAGGCAGTGGTAGAGAAAACAAATGTGAATCCAAGTGAAGTAGGGGACATTGTTGTTGGAACTGTTCTGGCTCCTGGTTCAGAAAGAGCAATTGAGTGCAGGATGGCAGCTTTTTATGCTGGTTTCCCTGGTATAGTTTTGGTTATACCCTTCTGCATTAGCCCTTTATATTTTCCATTGGCATCTTGAGTTCAATTTGTTCAGATGTGGACACAAAATTTTCTTGTAATTGAAGTCATTTCCAATATTTGATGTTGATTGAAAAATCTTATCTTAATGACTCATCTGTTTCAACCAGATACGGTGCCTGTCAGAACAGTCAACAGGCAATGCTCATCTGGCCTGCAGGCAGTTGCTGACATTGCTGCTTGCATAAAAGCAGGATATTATGACATCGGTAAGTGTGATTCCGGAATATGTATCCATTGTTGATGATGCTCTTTTTGCTAAACCCTCATTTTGTCTTTTCAATACAGGTGTTGCAGCTGGGTTGGAGTGCATGACAGTGAACAGTATTAAGGGTGTTCCCCAAGTTAACCCAAGAGTAAATCCTAATTCTATTTTTATGAAGGAATCAGAAATTTCTGAGATGTTATTGTTAAACTTGAGTTATGCTATTATAGGTAGAGATCTTTCAACAAGCCCGAGATTGTCTTCTTCCTATGGGTCTCACTTCTGAAAATGTTGCTCAGCGTTATGGCGTGACACGGAAGGAGCAAGACCAGACTGCTGTGAGTTCCGCAGATCATTCAAGCTTGCGAGACCTTTCAATACTAACATATTGCATGATAGTCTTGACACCCTATCTTTGTGAATAGGTTGAATCACATAGGAAAGCTGCAGCTGCAAGAGCATCTGGTAAATTCAAAGATGAAATTATCCCAGTTATCACGAAGGTAAATAAAACAATGAATAGTCAAGAGAATCACATTCTTGATTATTGATATTGTTGTTGTTATTTTCTTCTAAATCATGGCTTCTAATCAGTGATTGTTATACAAAGATTGTGGACCCAAAAACTGGTGCAGAGAAGGCTATTACAGTTTCAGAGGATGATGGCATTCGACCAAACTCAAACCTGGCAGAGCTGTCCAAGCTGAAACCTGCATTCAAAAGGGATGGATCCACTACTGCTGGTATTCTACACGCTACCATTCAGGATATTGTCAGAATGTCTTCAGTCTATCTTGATCAGCATGTATTGTCAACTGACATTTGATTGCAATTGTATAAATAGGCAATGCTAGCCAAGTCAGTGATGGTGCTGGAGCTGTCCTTCTTATGAAAAGAAGCCTGGCTGCACAGAAGGGACTTCCAATTCTTGGAGTGTTCAGGTAGTCTTCTTTTCTTGCAAAGAGATACTACCTTTAGCAGGAATCAAGCATGGCTATTTACATGTAACAATGTGTTACTACAAGTAAAAACCTTGGATGCTGCAATTAGGCCAGCTATTTGATTCAAGACCTTCTTTATTTGTCAACGTACTTCTTTTATTACATTTTTATTAAAAAATATTTGATGAAAATATGGCTTTTTTTGGGTCTTCTGAAGTTTCCTATTGCCAAGGAATCTAGTTAGGAAAGAAAAAGGTGATGATCTCACAGTCAATCTCTATTGGTGTCTTTAGAGCCATGCTTGACATGCCAAAGCATATTGGCATGCTAAAGAATCTTCTGAAAGCAAATTTAAGTCGACTTCCTTTCTTGGTATTATTTCTGCGTTGCTCAAATTTTGCAGAACATTCATGAGGCAGTTATGGTATAAAATCTTGGAAGAGCGTCTAGACTAGAGAGATTTATAATGCTAAGAAGTTTGTCCTCCTAGTTTGTTAGTGAGACTATACTACTTAAAGACCTGGTATTGAAAGAGGCCAATGACATCCATGAACATGTTTCTGAATTTAATTTGGTATTTATTTCTGTGGGAAGAGAGACCAGCACTATCTCTATGTTTTTTTTCTACGTTCTATGTTCCTCTGAGAACGGAGCGTACTACTTTATTTCGTTATTTAAATTTTTTTGTCAATTGAATGGCACTCAGAAATATAGCATTTTTGTTCCAAGAATAAGTGGGATATTGCAAAAGATTCAATAACCAGAAGTTAGAATAGAACTTTTGATTCAAAAGTTCACAAATGATTATTAGTGAAAATCTTAGGAAGGAAATTTGGAGTAAAGGTTAATGTGGGGTTGGGAGTTTAAAAAGTTTTCATGCTCCAATCTTACAGTCATATGCTTTTCCTGCAGGAGTTTTGCTGCTGTTGGTGTGGATCCTGCCGTAATGGGTGTAGGTCCAGCTGCTGCAATTCCTGCTGCAGTGAAAGCTGCTGGACTTGAGCTTAATGACATTGACCTGTTTGAAATAAATGAGGTAGTGGGCTTCACTGATTTGTTTTTTGGTTTTTTTTTTTTGTTTTGTTGTTGTTGCTGTTGTTTTTTTTTTTTTTTTTTGGTGACCTCCATAAGAGTTAGATCTTTTTTGAGTTAAGGAACCTGTTGTTCTCTCTTCAGGCATTTGCATCGCAGTATGTTTATTGCATTAAGAAGCTGGAGCTTGATCAAGAAAAGGTTAATGTGAATGGTGGTGCAATTGCTCTCGGGCATCCTTTAGGGGCTACAGGTATTCGTAGTGACAATTTTTTGTGAGACTGAGTTTGTGGTTTAAATGCTTCTAATTGTTGCTCAAGATAGCTATGTGAAAATACACACACAAAGACTTGTATGCCTTTTGGGATAAACTATCAGCTGTAAAATTAACTTTTAAAGAAATAATACAACATAGACAAATGTTAATGGCTCAATATGTCCTTATATAAGAGGATAATTCTTCAATCTGTCTTTATACTCCCTAATTGAACCAGTTTTACCCTTGAATATAGATTAAGTGTCTAATCTATCTTTCTAGCAAGCTTTTTAGGCTAAGCTACTGGAATTAGTCACACGATTTGCATATGAAAGCCTTCTATTTGACTAGCTTGCAAAGAAATTTGGGAATAAAAAATAATCATGTGCAAATCATGTGAATAATTCTGGTGGTTTGGCCTGTAAGTCTTGACAGTGGGATAGATTCGAGCTTAAGGTATATTCAAGGATAAAATTGACTTAAATAAGGATATAATGACAGATTGGAGAATTACATTATTACCTAAAGATAGGTGGGGCCATTGACCCTAGGCAAATAATGTAGCATTCGACATGAGAAGCTTAGCTTGATATTGATTTCTTTTATTGTCAGTTGAATACGCTTTTAAGGCATTTTGTGCTCCTTGTTGTGCTAGGTGCCCGCTGTGTTGGAACTCTTCTTCATGAGATGAAACGTCGTGGGAAAGATAGTCGCTTTGGAGTGATCTCAATGTGCATAGGTCTCTCCTTCTCTCTCTCCATGCCACTCACATAACATGACAAGCTATTACTTACTAGATACAAACTTGATTCAATTTTTGATCTGTTGGAGAAGTGTAGAAAATATCTATATATAGGCAACATCAAAGATCGCTATTTCTGTTTAGAAAGCAAAATGTGACTAGTCAGTGGGATTTCATTAGACAGGACTTGCAGACATATGATACCATCAAATTCTGGTCATGTTCCTTTCACAGGCTTCTTGGTCAGATATTTAAAGGATTAAATAGAAGGATTAAGTTTAAAGGAAATAGAAGGATTAAACTTCACCATGGTGCTTTCTTTCTTCTGGATTTCCTTCTGACTTTAGAAGTGTGGTTGATATTTGCAGGGTCAGGCATGGGGGCTGCTGCTGTTTTCGAAAGAGGAGACTTTGTTGATGAACTGTGCAATGCTCGAAAGGTGGAAAGTAACAGCCTTCTGTCGAAGGATGCCCGTTAGATACATTAATTTCTCATCACTGAATTTATTCTAGTATGGCTCAGGAGATCATCAAAATAACCATCTGTGAAAGCTGCAAGTTGGGAACTAAAGCTATTCTTTATATGGGTTGATTGTATGGAGCGTCGGTGCCACAGGTCAGCTGACGATTGTAATACATGTAATAATGTACTCTGACCCTGTAATTTAGCAGTGTCTTGAGAAGCAGTTACTTTCTATTATTTTGAGGTTCATAATTTCCAGTTCAAAACAAAGTTCCTTGATTCCATCATGATGCCTGGAGTTATAACAAGAACTCAGGAAGTGATCATCAGTTCACATCCTATTCTTTTATTCTCTTGTGTAAAAATGTCTTGCCGTCGATAAGATAGACAGACATCTATCAAATATGGGAGCATAATCGATGTTATAACGGGCAGAAGCAGAGACACGTGGTGGTCGCCATTGGAGTGCATGGAAACAGACAATTAAGGCAGCACGAGATGGTTGGAGAGTTAGTGGAGTCACTATGGCGAGAGTCAGTTAGGAAGTTGTAGCTGTTAGTTTGTGAGGGAAAAATTAGTGTATAAATCCACCAACAGATTCTCGTAAAAGTTATTCTGGATTAATGTCTAAGTAGTGCTAGCTAACACTATTTTTAACACTTTTCTAAATACTTCCTCCATAAAAATTTACATGTCAAGTTTTTTTTTTTTTTTTTTTTTTTTTTTTTTTTTTACATTTAACTAGTTTTTGTAAAATAATAACAAACATAAAATAATTGATGTTCTATGAAGAAGTTTTTAAATTATAATCAATCTTATATTAAAAAAAAAAAATTCTTATTCATTTTTTCATTTAAAATTGCTAACAATGGTTGAAACTAAGAGTTAAACTTATTTTTTCTTCTCTTTCTTGAATGCGAACATGGAGTGATAAAAAAATATTGATTTTCTTTAAACAATTAAAAAGAGATATTTTAGTCTTTTAAATAATATGAGATTGATTATAATTTTAAACTTGACCATCAATTATTTTATAATAAACTGGTTAGACGTAGGAGACACATGAAAAAGTTTGATGTGAACTCATTTATTAAGCAAGTTTTTAAAGGAGAATGTTAAAAACAGTGTTGCTAGCATTTCGCTTAATGTCCAATTTAGTCTTCTTTCTAATTTCTTTCTGTTCTTCTCTTGATTCTTAGTTCTTGATTTCCAAAACTGTTTCTCAAATTGATTTCAATGGTTAACTTTTCAACTTTTGATTACTTTTTAAAGTTTGGAATAATATTAGAAAAAAAGAAAAGAAGAATATTATCGAAAAAATCACAAATGATAAACACCAAAATAACTATTAAAATTTTTAGATGATTTTCTGGAGGTATAACTAAATTACTTTTTAAAGATGATATGCACTATAGTAAAAAATGACCGTAGAGGTAGAATATTTGAGGCGGTCAATTAAACCGCCTCAAAATATATTAGTAAATGACTTACCTGATTTATATTAAAAAAAAGAAAAAAGAAAAAAAAGGCGGTTGATAAAAACCGCCCCACCTTTTAAGTAGCCAGAGCCCACTTTTGTTTGGTTTTTTAACCTATTTTTAGAAGTGAAATGAAAACAAACGCCTCATCATCCCGCCTCTCCCCTGACTTCTAGGGTTTTTCTTCCTCTCTTCTCTTTTTTCTCATACCCACTTCTACTCTATCTCCAGCTTTGCCCTTAATTTTGAATTATTCTCAAGCACATCTATTGAAGATTGCCTTGGATCGCTATTTTAGATACAATTGATGGATAGAATAGTGGGAATCACAAGAAGCTGGAATTAACGAAGTTTCACAAGAATTGAAATTCAAGATTGGGAATCTTGTCTATCTATCCTTATCTTGTTCTATTATTGCAATCTCTTGACTGTAAATTTCCATTATGCATTTTCCAGGTAGTTAGGTACTCTGGGCAGAATTCATTTGATGGAGTTAGGTACTCTGGGGAACCAATAGTTTTTGCCTGGGAGCTCATGAATGAACCTCGGTGTGCATCCGGTTCTGCTGCTGCTATTCTTCAGGTGAACCATTGAATTTTTGTTTTGCTGTATATTTTGGCATTGAATTTAAAAAATAAACTAAAGGATAAGGCTAGAATCTGGAGAGGGAGGTGAAGGTGTTGTTTGATGGAACCATTTTGAGCTAAATATCATTTTTTCTAAGTCTCTATGATTGTGGGGTGGTTTGGTCATGTTTGTTAGTTTATAATATAAAAAAGATATGTGTTTGTTCTGCTATTGGTTAAACAAATTTTCTGGACCGCTTTTGAATCATATATAATTGAGATCATTTTAATGTTTGTTTCTTTAGCTTGAGGCATGGATCACTGAGATGGCCGCATATGTCAAACATTTTTAGAATATTATTTGTTTTGTATAGAGAAAATAATGTAACTCATACAAGCACTACACCAAACAAGATTGTAGGGGCGGAATCATTTTGCTTTTCAATTGTCTACTATTATGATGTTTCAGTACTTGTATACTAACTTTACTTGCAGCTAAAATTAGCGGGTATATCATTTGGTTATAACTTATCATAGGTTCAGAGACTAGTGCATGTTTTCATTAATTATCCATCACAACATTTTACGGCAACTCTTTGTTTTGATTCTTTTTCTTTAATTTACCATATGGATTTAGCTGTTTGTTGTGAAGTAGTAACATGTTGCTAACTCATAATGTTGTAGTATGATATACCAAGAAGCTAAGTAGAAGAACTCTGCAACTTTTTTTTTTTTTGATAAATGAAGCTTTATAACTTTTGGAAGGTTGCACGTTGCATGGATCTAAATTATTTTACCATAAGCTCCTATAGCATAGGGAGAGATTAATTTTCCTGAAGTTCAGAATTATTCTCTACAAATTGTGGACAAAACTAGATTAGTTAAACCCATCTTTGCTGTAAACATTACCAAAGGTTTCAGAAGGTCTCCAAGCCACTTCTATTAACTTTGTGGTTGCATCTACTTTTCTTTCACCAAGAGCTGCTTCCAACTAGTAAGTGTGCTTGTAGATACTAGCAACGATTTTTATTAGATAGTATTCATTATTCTGTTTGCCATTTTTAAAGCATGTGTGGTTATGCTCCTATTAAACTATACCAATATAAAACAAAACTACCATATATTATCAAGTGGCTGTAGTACCACTTCAATTAAAAAGATTGTCTAGAGCATGTCATTGAGTTCATCACAATTTCTACCATCTAGGATCACAACTTAATAGATGTTGGTGTGTGTTTCTAAGAATTAGATGAAAGATACAATGCTCTTTTAGTATTTTGATGTGGTGAAGAAGGAAAGTAATATGGTTTGATGATTTTGATCGCTTACCAACATTATCTCCTTCACCATTGCCATTATTTTTCTAGAAACTCTTTTTATTGATGTCTTTTAGTGGTTTAGCAATCAAAATAGTGAACATGTGAATAAAACAATAAATGGAGTTTTCGGGGGGATGAGTGAAATGGAGAAAAGTGGAACATGAATTTCAGATGAGTAGAGCATTCTAGGATAATTCATGCTGTGAGATTTGTCAATAGAACCATTCATCAATAAGAAAAAGTTGCATGATGCTGCATCTTTAATTATTTTTCACTTTCTTTATTAGTGTTCAATGATTGTGTTTCATTTAGCTTTTTGAGAAAAACGATGAAAGGGCTTTGTAGCTTAATCATAAAAGGAAAACCATTTGACAAGTTATACAATTATTGCTCTAAATATGATAGAGTTGAAGTTTAATAGTCTCTCCATCTTTCAATGCAGGTTTGTCGTAGAGGGCCAAAAAAACAGGGAGGCAGAAACTATAATAGCTATAGAAGCAATCTAAGATCACTTGAATTGTAGCTTTCTAGTGAATTTAAATTTTCATATTATATTTTTTTGGGCAGGCATATTAAGAACTTTGTTTATATATTCAAAGAAATGTTTAATCCTTTAGTTTTTTTCTTGTGGATGTTTGAAGACTTTTATGTATTTAGAATTTGATAAATAGAAATTAGAGAATATTGTATAAGTCATGTAATTTTTCTTTTATTTGCATTCAACAAGATGTAACTTTTTTTTTAATTTATTTGTTTTTTGACCAAAAAATGGAGTAAATAATTGAATTTGAAGGTGAAATCCAAGTCTATCAATTCTAAAATTTGAGCGATAAATTCTAAAATTTGAGATGGTTGTAGTCGCCTCAAAATTTTCATGCTAAAATTTTTAAAAATTCAAGAATATAGAGGTAGTTATCAATCGTCGCATAAATTGCGCACCAAAAAATTATAAAAGACACAATTAGCATTGTTGAGGTGGTTGTAACCGTTTCAAAAAATCAATTTGAGGTGGTTCTAGCCATCTAAAAAAACCATCTCACAATTTCTCGACAATTGAAAAATCTCGCCTCTACAATGTAGAGATGATGGGATTTTAGGTAGTTTTGAAGCGGTCCGTAAACTCGCCTTTACACTTTGTAGAGGCGGTTATAACCGCCTTTAGAAGAGAAAAACGCCCGTAATGTTTTTTTTTGGTGTAGTGATATGCCGTCCGTAGAAATTTCGATGCAATAGATTGAATATATGTTGCACACTTGTCTTACAAATATAACAACCTCAACCACCTTGTTGTATTTGATAAGTTTGCACTATTTTTTTTTTAAAGAGTACCACTCACCAAATTTGCAATGCAAAAAGAAAGGATAAATAAAAGTTTATGGCTTTTGTGGAAATATAAAAAAGAAAAGCAAGAAGTAGATGGTTGTAAAAAGAATGCTTGTCAAGTGTTGCTATATTTTTTCTTCACTTGCATTTTGTTAAGAGAGTAACTATTTATATGTTAAGGGGAAGAAAAAAAAACTTCTAGAGAATTTATTATAAACAAAAAAGAGAATTCAATGACCAAAAGCTAGTTCGTTTAAGACAATGACCAACTCGTCATTTTTCTTTTTTGTAACTATTTTGAAAATAATAGATTTGTTGTATTGTTGTCAAAACAATAGATGCCTTTTTTTAAAAAAAATAATACTAAATTTTTATGGAAAATATTCTAACAATTCCCAAATTATTTTTTATAAAATAAATATCTATATAATTTGTATAAGAAACTAAATATAATACATAATAAGGATATCGATGGCTTAAACCTTTATTTACTATTTTAATAATATTGCACTTAACTCAATAGTAAATTTTGTCTTGAACTAAAACTTTTTAAGGAAACAATTATTACATCAAACGTAGTATATTCACATACTTTGCAATGAATTTCAAAACCATCACATTATGATCTTATGCTTGATCCTAACATTCATGGATAATTTAGAAAATTTGTCCTATTTTTTTTTAAACGACCCTACTTTCATGTTCATACAAGTGTGTATCAAGGATGCTATGTTAACTCTAACATTTCATTCATAAAGGACTATATACCATATTAAAAGTTTTCTTTAATGAAACTCAAGCTTTGTTTCATCATGAGATACTTGCATTTGCACCATAGTGATGAGAAAAATAAATTAGTACATCTTAGTCAACTACTATTATGATTTTTTTTTCTTTAAACGTAGATTTTGCAATCTCCAATCAACTAGGTATGGCTTCTTCAACTCCCATGCATTTTGTTAGGTATGCGGACCTATTCCTTCGCATAGTTGGTCATTGACCATGGTGTAGTTCAAAGCTTTTAGCTTTAATATTTTATCTCTATAGAATTATTGAGGGTTTCTTAGATATTGTTTTTTCGGATTCTTCCAATCATCCTCTCCTAAAGCCTTCAATAGATTGATTTCTAGAAGCCAATTTCTCTTTTGACTTATTAGGAAAGGATTCTCTAACATACAAGCTACTTCTTTGAATAATGAGGTTGGACACTTGTATCTAGAGCCTAGTTGTGCCAAATCATTTACATTTTGTTTGTTTTCTCTTTGCACATGTCTAATCAAGACATGGTTAAATTTGCATAGTAGGTGTTTTTCCTTTCTCCAACATCTTTGTAAACTCAAGTTTTGGCAATTATATTTTTCATTTAGTTGGTTAATAACCAATTGTGAATCACCTACTATATATAATAGGTAAGATTTCAAGGCCTATTATAAGTGCCTTGCATTTCACTCCATTGTTGGTCCATGTTCCCTACAACTCGGAAGACCATCATAATGATTGATCCATATGGGGATTGAAAGAGTACTCTAACCCCTACATCAAGGCTATTACTAGATCCATTAAAGAATAATTTTTAAGGGACCATTTAAGCTATTACAGACCTCTTTGTTGTATTCTCTTAGGTCTATGGATAGATGTCGATAATGAGTATTATTGATTATATTTATTCTTTTCTACTTACTATTTTGAATATTATTTTTGGTTAAATATGTTGAATTAAGTTTATTTTTTGATTCATGAGATGATTAGTATCAAAGGAGCAAAAATGTGTTAATATGGACGAAATTCCAATGCTAGCAGATTGACCTTTAGAGGAACAAAGGGTTATTTCACATCTTTAGAGCTCTAGAACATAAAATAAACATTCTTGAGAATTGAAATGGACATCTTATGATTTCCAATTTGGATTTAAATGCATAAATTCATTATGTTTTGGGCCGTCAAAGTCGGTTACAAAGTCGAGAGAAAAATTCGGATCCATTGACAATTCAAATCGTCGCCTAGTATTTAGACCATATATGAAGTTATATATATTGGATTAAGATGTGTCAAAGTCAACAAGCAAGGTTAGAGAAGAAATTTGGATCCCTTGACAATTCGAAACATTGCTTAGTATTTGGATCATATATGGAGTTATACATATTGGATTAAGATGAGAAATTTTTTTTTAGAGAATTTATTATCAACAAAAAAGGGAATTCAATGACCAAAAGCTTTCTATTTTAAAAAAATGACCAATGACTAGTTTTTTTTAAGACAATGATCAACTGTTATTTTTTTTTTTGTCATTGTTTTGACAATAATCGATTTGTTGTATTGTTGTCAAAATAGTTTCAAAACAAGTAGATGTCTTTTTTTGAAAATAATAATAATTTGTTATAGAAAA